TGGCTACATGTGAAGGAGTGGAGAATCAAGCCCGGTTCTCCAGATTAGAGTGCACCAGTCTTAGCCACTACACCAAACTGGATAGGAGAGAGGAACCTGGGAAGTTTTAGGGAAGGGACATACAACCTGAAATCCTGGGCTTGAAATCTGGAGAGGTCTAAAGGCAAAATCAGCTGAGGACCAAGGAGCAATTACAGGGGTGTTCAGGTACTGGGAGAACCTGGCACACCTTCCACTGAGTTGGAACAGTCTTTTTATGGAGATGGGTCCCATAGCTAGACATGGGCATCTACTTTTTCAGGAACATGATTGGTTGAAGATACGAAGCTTAAATTTGACTGGGCAGTTCAAAGGTAACGGTGGGAAGATTAGTAGAGAAATACCTGACATTCCAAGGTGGGTTGGTCATTGGATGGTTTTAGCATATTGACAAAGAACTGGGAGTGAATGATGGGTTTAAGTGTCCTCCTGATGGCGCATCCTGGGTGAATTGGATGTTAGGCTGCCTTTATTAATGGCTGGATTGCATTAGTAATAATGATATATAACAAAGTATATGAAATAGGAAATATTTCTCCCCAACACCCCTTTCATTACATTGACGCCGTCTATAAAATACAATAAAACTTACTTCTGTTGGGATACATTTATACTCAACATTTTACATTTAAAATTTCATAACTAATCTGTTTATTACAGATTAGTTAATTATCCTATTATTAACTAATAATATTAATATTATTAAAACCACTAAGTCCAAAATAAAAGGGAAACCCCACTACCAAAGGGGCCTTGGCCGGAGGAGGGTGCAGGGTTATTACATCATTATTTGGATGGGAGACCACCAAGGATGTCCAGGGTTGCTATGCAGAGGTAGGCAATGGCAACCCACCTCTGAATTTCTCTTGCCTTGAAAACCCTATAGGGTCACCATAGGTCAGCTGCAACTCGTTCACACCTTCCACTATGCAGCAGAAAGATCCTCCAGGTTCCCCAAAGAATTTATCCCAGCTGTTTGTGAAGGAACTCAACAGAAGCTCAATACATTATACAACATGGGTCTACAGCCCCTCCCACAAAATCTTAATATCAGCGACCCAGCTACTTATTCCCAGACACCACCAGGAAGCAGCTGGCCTCTCCTCTAAACATTAAATCTTTCCAAATTATATTTTCCTTTGTAATTATTTACCACACAAGCCTAAATAGGTCTGCTCAGCATCCCTATTCAGGTCTTATTGGTCTGTTTCAGGTTTAAAATGAAACCCAGTATTTCCCAGACAATAAACAGTCAATACATTAATTTATTTTCTTTAAAATAATCTGATAACTTCACATGATTAAATAAAATGTTAAATAGATACACCCAATACTGGCATACCCCATAGAAATTAATCCTTATGATTATACTTTTCATTCCTATTTTACCTAAGTTGTCTTTAAGCAGAAAAAGAGTTAAGTTTCAAAACTTCTTATCCCGAGCTTTGAAAAAAAAGAAAGAAAGAAAGAAAGAAAGAAAGAAAGAAAGAAAGAAAGAAAGAAAGAAAGAAAGAAAGAAAGAAAGAAAGAAAGAGGAGAAAGCAGATTTCACTGAATGAATTCCACATCCGAGATATGCATTGGTTCCAGGAAGCTGGTTTCAGAGGGTAGCTGTGCTGGTCTGCTGTAGAACCGCTAGTCTCCAGTCAAGCAGCAGTTTAGAGACCACCAAGATTGGGGGGTGGGAGTTTCTAAGCTTTTGAGAGTCAAATCACCCTTCTTCAGATAGCAGGTTTCCAGGGTGTGGCCAGCTATTAAATAGGTCAGCTAGGTTTGCCATGTGCTGCTGGGGGGTGGAGATCTTGTGTCCCCAAGGGACCTTTTCTGCTGACTTTACTGAACCTTCTCATCTGTGGTCTCCAAAGCCATGATGTATGACATCTTTAATCATCCCAAAGAATAATTGTTGCAAACTCTGTTCCATTTATTCTTGGATTTATTATGAGAGTAAAACCATTTATTCATAAGTTATCCTTCAAGGCTGAAGACTAACTTGGCTAAAATAGTAAAAAATGCATGTTTGCAGATTTATACAACACTTATGCTTTCATACACTGTAAAAACTAGAGATATTAGCAGGAATCTTGTCAAGAAGATTTATTGAGAGGATAAACTAATCTGATTTTGAAATTTGTAAAACAACCTTAGTTAGAAATAAGAGCACAGATTATCTGTATAGAGATTTTCTATTTGAGCCATGCAATAAACTTAGGAACAATCCTAAGTAGATCTCCTTGGAAGTAAGTCTCATTTTATTCAGTTTTAAGATTGCAGCCTAAAAATATATGTGGTCTGTACAAATATTTATTTACATTATTTACAGTTTGCCTCTATCAAAAAATCTCTATCAGCTCCATAAGATGTTATTTAACAGTCATAAAGGACATTTTTAAACAAAGCAAAGCAAAATCTGTCTCTTTTCACACAGCTTCAAATGATGTTATATGGCAATTGCATCCAAATAGCTATATGCTGCTAAGGCTATAAAGGCTGCAATAACAAAGTTAATAGGATAATTCTAAGCTGTCACACTGAAATACTGATTAAATCAATTGTTAAGTTGAAATTGTTCTGCATGTTTATACAGCATAATTCTTCCAACAATTTTAAGACGTGCATTTATGCATTGGTTCCAGAAATTGCCAGAAACAGAAGACAGTGGAATTAAGTACACTTAATTAGTATAACTGACCCACCTGCTTTTGCCCACCCTCCTCAGTGGCTAGCCATTTTTTCCCCCACTTTCAATGTGCTTCCCACACTAAAAGTTGTTTCCTCTTCCAGTCCTGATATCTTGACTGAATCTTTCTATCACATCATCACCTTTGTCTGAAGTAGTGTTGCCAACCTTCAGCTGGTGCCTGGAGATCTCCAGGAATCACAATGGATTCCTGGCTTGAGCGGTCAGTTCCCCTGGAGAAAATACTTGCTCTGGAGGGTGGACTCTATGGCATGATGCCCTGCTGAGGTCCTTCCCCTCCCCAAATCCTACCTCCCCAGGCTCTACCCCCAAATCTCCAGCAATTTTCAAACCTGGAATTGGCAGCCCTACCTTGAAGGCATGCTTCCCCCCGTCTGATGCTTAACATATGCACATTGTATTTATTTAAATATTTTTATCCTGCCTTTTCAAAGCCAATCCTGCCAAGAAAATCAAAACGTAAAAACACAAACTGATAAAATAAAAGAGCAAGTGTGGTTAGAGTGTTGGACTAGGAGCTGTGAGAGCCAAGCTCAGGTCCTCTCTCAACCATGGGATTTTGCTGGGTGATCTTGGACCAGTTACACACCCTCAGGCGAATATACCCCACAAGATTGTTATGAGGATAAAATGCAGCAGAGGAGAACAAGGTATGCTTTTGGGGAGATAAAGATCTGTTTAATAGGTTCTCTGCATTGGCAGCTTTCATTAAAAAGTCTTCTATTGTGAAGATACACATTTTCCCTTACATCTCTGCAATGAAAAGAGAAGCTCAGATTTTAAAATGAAGTTTGGGGACTCAGAGGACTTAGTATCAGTGTTCCCTCTAAGCTGAGTTAGTGTGAGCTAGCTCACAATTTTTTAGCCTCCGGCTCACACAATTTTATCTTAGCTCTGGAAGGATGTCTCCAGAACAAACTAATTCACGCAGTAGCCAAATCACTCACTCACAACTTTAATGCCAGTAGCTCACAAAGTAAAATTTTTGCTCACAAGACTCCACAGCTTAGAGGGAGCATTGCTTAGTACATAGATAATTATGTGATAATGCTATAGTGATTCATCAATTGTCACTTTAAAAAATTGGCTGGAAAAACTCTGGTGGGGGGTGGTAGCCACAGGGGGCTGAGGCAAATAAATAGTACTGGTGTGGACAGAACCTGAAAAAAAATGCACCTTGCCATCTTAACACCATACAGACACATATTCACTGTGATCTTTCCAAAAGATCACACCAAACCAATTCAGGAAAGACTACCATAAAGTGGTCCTGTGGATGCTCTCAAAAAACCTGCTCGTTTGTATACCAAACCAGGGCAAAATCGCTCTGTGGAAGCAGCCTTAATGGAATGAAAGTCATTTTAGTGCATACAGCCCTCAGAATGGTAGTAGAAAAATTGATGGTGAAGAAATACATATATACTAGGAATAACGCTTATTGTGGAAATAAATACAATAAGCTCTAGAAAGAGGCTCTGGGCAGGTGCCTCAGCCTTGGGTACTCAGCATCAATTTGCTGTGGCAACCTCAGCAGGGTATAATGACACAGCGTCCACCATTTTCTCCAGGGGAACCGATCTCTGCCACCTGAAGAGCAGTTGTAATTCTGAGTGATCTCCAGCCCTCACCTGGAGATTGGCAACAATGGTTCCTCAGGAGGAAATGGCTGGTTTGAAGAGTGGAATCTATGACAGTGTATCTGTCTGAGGTCCCACCCCTCCTCAACCCCACCCTCTCCAGGCTCCACCCCTCAAATCTCCAGGAATTTCCCAACCTGAAGGTGACAACCCTATCTCCTCCCCAGCCAACCATCAACTTTACCTGCCCCTCTGACTTCAACTTTCTATCTCCCCCCCCCAGCCTCTACCTAGGAAAAGTACAGTCTTTCTCCACAGTGGGGACCCAAGCAGGAGGGAAGCGACCTCAGCAGGGTATAATGCTGTTGTTTTCTCCAGGGGAACTAATCTTTGCCATCTGGAGAGCAGTTTTAATTCTGAGTGGTCTCCAGCCCTCACCTGGAGATTGGCAGCAATGGTTCCCCAGGATAAAATAAGTGCTTTGGAGGGTGGACTCTAAATTCTAAATTTCATATTGTGACTCTATGGCATTCTATTCAGCTTAGGCCTCTCCCCTCCCCAAACTCTGGCTTCCATAGATTCCACCACAAAATATCCAGTAATTTCCCAGCCCGGAGCTGGCAATCCCAAATGTGATAGACATGTAATACATTGATATGATAGATGCTGAAAACATCACTTACTTGCCATTATAAATTTGACTTGCTGACCAGTATAAAGGCAAAGAGTTGTGGATACGCAAACTGTTATTTGCCATGAGTCCCCTAGAATGAAGAGAGAAGATTTTATATACTATAAACTTGAAAGCAACTATATTCAAGGTTGATCTCAAACAATAAATTCTGTTTATTAAATTCTTTCCCACTTTTCAGTGCTGGTTACTAGTTGTCTGTTGGGAAAATCCAATCTAGCTCAAGCTTGGCCTAGCATGTGTCGTGCCACACTTTCCATTGCTTGCACACTTCACAATGTTCCATAAAAGTCCCAGCACTATTGCCCAGTGGAAGTCAGCATTGGATTCTGCCCAGCCCCAAAGGAATCCCCATTCCACTTTGGATCCTCACCATGATAACCTAGGCATTTTCTCCCAGCTCTCCACTGTTCCTGCCCATTACACCTAGAATAAGTATGTTCAAACTGCTTGGGAGAAGAATTAATTCTCACAGGGAAAGATAAGATAGCATGGATCTTCATCTGCATGACCTTTAGAAAGTATGTGATAACATGCAAGTTTAAGGTCTGGTTTTATTCCTGGTATCTATCTGCATAGAGGATATTAATGTTTATCTAGTGAAAAGCTTGGATCATTTGTATTCACTTTCTCACACTGATTAATGTTTCATGTTTAGGATACACAAATATTTGCAAAATTGAATTAAGTACATATATAATTTTAATTATAAATCAGAAATACAACACTTCTATGTAAAATTTGATCCACTGTACATAAATCATATTAGGTCTTAAATATCATGCATTCAAGCCCCACATTTCAAACTCTGAAATATAATTTGAGGTCACTGTTCAATTTTACAAGGAGAAATTTTATTTTTCAAGCCTCTAGAAGTTATTTCCAGAAGACCACTTCACTACAAACAACCTTTTCTTGTTTTGAGTCCATGAGATAGACAGATAGATTGATCAACAGATCTTCTCCCCAGCACCCAATCAGGCCTCCCCCCTCCTACAAATACTTCCGCCAGGACATCTTAGAATTCAGTAGTTAGGGCTCACAGCACAGGGTTCTGTCTCAGAGCTCCCTGCCATGCAGACTTAGAGTGAGGCACTTTGGTGGTGGCAGAAGCACAGAGAGGGCACTTTGCACTACAGGGCGAGCACTTGGCACTGACACCCAAGAAGGCAAGCAAAGTCCGTACATTGTGACTGACCTCTTCCATTTCAGAACTCTCACAGGTACCCCACCTTTGGAGGCTCAGCCCACAGGAGCAACTGCACACTGACAGGTAAGCAAGGGAAAGGATCCCAAACCTGCTCCCCCACTCCCCTCACTTGAGCCTGGGTACTGTGACAGAGTCTCCTGCATTGAGTCCAGGTGTGGGGCAGCACAAGTCGCAGCTGTGCAGCGCCATGCCCCTGATATGCCATGAGAAAAAGTTCCCCAAGAAGTTTTCTGGGAGATTGGGGGGGGGGACGCTCATTTCCCCAGTTACCACCCTCAGCAGAGCACAGGGAGTGTTTGTGGTTGGGGGGCGGTCTGGCAGCTGCTCCACTGTACATGGTGAACCAGCCTGGCAAGTGTTCCTTCAACTCATTCCCTTGCAGAATCAGAGGCTTGAGCAGCAGCTGCGGCGGCGGATGGATTGCAAGTAATCTGGAAGGACTTCAACACAGGACAGGTAATCTGCCATACATAGCAGGGACCCAGGTGCACAGATAGGTTCCCTTGCTCACCTCGCAGGCTTCTGTGGTGGTGGGGGGGAAAGAGGGTGGTCTGGGTGAATAAGCCAGCTTATTGCGGTGGTGAGAGTGTGAGGCTGGACCTGGGAGACCCAGATTCTGTTCCCCATTTGTACGATGGAAGCTAGGTGGGTGGGCCTTGGCCCAGATGCACACCTTCAGCCTGACCAACCTCACGGGGTTGTTATGTGCATGAAATGGAGAAGAGGGGGATCATGCAAGCCACCTGGGTGGGAGGATCACTAAGAAAATGAGCAAATTGATGAGCCCTGTAACTGCATGTCTGCTCCAGGAAGGGGGTCCTCTGGTACTCCCAGGGGAAGGCATCTGTGCAAGTAGCACTGAGGGGGCAGGGGATTACAGGGGTTCCCTGAGCCTGTGGTGGGGGGAGCCACTGCAGTGGGCAGACTCCAGGTATTTGGGAGGGTGGGGTTGGGGGGGCTGGCCATGGAATACAGTGGCCTGCAGGAACAACAAATGACAGCAACTTCATGGTTGTCATCACCATGGGTCTCTGTCATGGGGGCGGGGTGGGAACAGAAAATGGGACTCTCCCGAGCTGCCCTTCCCCACTCCCTAGCTGTGACATGCAATGGCATCTGCCCCCAGGACTGGCCGCTCCTATTGATCCAGGGTGCCCCTCCTCTCGTACCACCCCCACCTTAACACTATGCTGCGAGGACACGCTGTGGCAGAATTGCCATGGACACGCCCTCGCAAGCTGCCAGGTACACTTCCCCCCCTGCTCTGCTGCAGCATAACTTGCCTTTTAGGGAGGCGACTAGCAGCACCACCCTGAGTCCTGGCTGGCCAACACAGCATGGGTGTGACTCAGGCCTGCTCTGTTAGTTTTCATTTTATGTGGTATGATGAAAAAAGCTACAAAGGAATTAAGATAGACGCGTGTAGCTCCGTTGTTGAATTTTCTTAGTTTCTCAAAACACTTAAATATATGGTAATTTTAGTGAATGCTAAACCATACACAAGCAAAAAGAAAGTAAGCACTCATGAAAGAAAAAGAAAAATTAACAAGTTTGGTGCCATTTGGCATTATAAATATTTAATATGCAAGCCTCAGTTGGAATATCAAATTGCATCAAGCATCTGTCCTGGAAAAAATATCTGCACAATAGCTTTGTGCTCGTTCACTGTTTGTTCAACCAATATTATTTAAATGCTCAATATTCATAATGGCAAAAAACAGTCATTATTATAGCCTTGAATGGTAGAATAAAATAAAGGCAGGTTTTTAAATTTATTTCAGTTAATAAATACTGGAGGTATCCCAAAATTCTATCAAAATCAGACACCAACCTAAGTTCATGTTCCAAAGGAGATATGTCCAGCACATGGACAATAGCAGTGAGTGGGCAGGATGTGCAGATGTCATCATCATCTCCTTCTCCATGTATACATTAGATATCTGCACAGTACTAAAAAGACATGCAGGATATTTAAATGATACAAAACAAAAGAAAATGTTTCAATTTATCCAGTCTTCTTGTGATGCTTTTGTTCTTGTTGTTCAGTCGCACAGTCGAGTCCGACTCTTCATGACCCCATGGACCAGATCACGCCAGGTCTTCCGGTCTTCCGCTGTCCTCTGAAGTTTGCTCAACTTCATGTTCGTTGCATCTATGACACTGTCTAACCATCTCATCCTTTGCCGTCCTTTGTGATGCTAAATAAGCACAAATATTTTCTGTTCTCTTTAGAACCACATCCGCTGATTCTGCATTGGCTTTTCCCTGTTGTTTTACGAAACCCACACTGGAACAGAAATTCCCCTCTGCATTGCATCTGCTTTCACTTCCTTTGATTATCGGATTTTATGGTACCCTCCAGACTGCATGCCACTTTGACTTTCTTTGATCATCTGGTTTTAGTGTACCTTCTGCATAGATTTATGGCTGTTTTATGGCCGTTCAGGGGTGACTTTGCAGGCAGTACGGCATTGCCCCAAGGTATTTGAATGTGGTTTTGAGCTGCACTTTTCCCTCCCAGTTGAGAAAATGTGCTGCAAATGCTAGATGCATCATCTTCAATATATGGCAAAACGTACTCAAGTTTTTGACACTGGGGATGTCAACCTCCAGGTGGTACCTGGGGATCCCATGGAATTACAGCTCATTTCCAAACTACAGATATCAGTTCCCCTGGAGAAGATGGATGCTTTGGAGGGTGGACTCAATTACATTTTAACCCACTGTCCCTGTCCTCCACAGGTTCCATCCCCAAATCTCCAGGAATTTCCCAACCTGGATCTGGCAACTCTACCCTGTCATTCCCCACCAGTGGCCAAGGGGGACCTGGCAACCTTCTTTGAAACTGTAAGTTCAGAAGGCTCTTCTTCAAAAGATTTTCCCTTTCATTCTATAGCTTCTATCAGTGCGGAGTCTCAGATCTATTTTCAATATGAACTGATATTCATATTGTCACTAGCAATTTTACAGTATTAAAGAAATATTTGTAACTGATGTTCTGCTTTGATGTTCAGCACTAAAGAATTTGTAAAATCAAATTAGATCTTTTATTGGTTCAAGATCTGTCACAAAAAAAGCTAAGCTTTCAAGTTATACAGGACTAGTAATCAGACAGAGAGGGAAGAGAAAGTCACTTAATGAAAATATTTTTAGTCACAACGTACAGATACTATTAACATAGAGAGGTGCTTTCATACTCGCACTTCTTGTGTCCATGAGGAATTTTGTTTTTTTCTCTCTCTCTCCCACTGGCAAATCAAGTCTAAAAATAAGAGCTCCTTCTGATGTTGTTTTTATGGTGGCAGATTCACAACACCATGCCTTTCTTTCCCAAAAAAAAAAGGTAGTTTCAAAAGCCAAGGTCACATGAAAGAAGCCAGTACTGCATTTGCTCTCTCACTGTCAAGTTTTCATCAGCCTGGGCCCTAAGAAGACCCTTGAGAACCATGGGATATGGCACAGAAGCTCTACCTTTCAAATAAGCAAAGATACAACGTTAACTTTATTTCAGTTACACCCTGCCTTTCTAATCAATGAGGACCCAAAGCAGCTTACATTGTTCTGGTCTCCTCTCCCTCATTTTATCCTCATAAGAACCCTGATTGATTGATTGATTGATTGATTGATTAGACTTCTATCCCGTCCTCCCGGCCGAAGCTGGCTCAGGGCGGCTCACATAAAACATGAATAATTTTTACAATACACATAAAATAGGATCAAGAACATGTAACAATTAAACAATGCTAAAACCATAATATAATAAAGTGCTTGTAGGTTGGAATGAGAGTGCGTGACTGGCCCAAGCTCACCCAGCAATCTTCCATGACAAAATGGGGATTCAAACCTGGGTCTTACAGATCATA